AGGTGGTCAGTTTGTCGGTCAGTCAAATAGCGGAGTTGTGTAGATAAAACCTCGACCAAGAAGTGGTTCGAAAGTTTTTAAATGTTACAGGGGAACATGGCAGAACTCTAATTACTGTTTAGTTACAGAGGGGGAAGAAGTGGAAAAGTAGAAAACAGGGCTATTGCAGGTGTGCAAGATATGGATTAGAATAGTTTGAGGCGGAATTAGCCTCAGCGTACAAAGGAAGTAATTGATTGCGGTATGTGACGACAACAACAAGGCTTATGAGGAACCTGAATGATGAATGTGAAAGAATTCTAAACTGGGGACACCTAAAGTTCGGCAGGTAATCCCTGAGAGTTCGGAAAAATACACTACCCGCCAAAAGGTGTTCGCTGGTCACTAGTACACGCTTGTGAATGAGTTGTGCGTTCGAACAAGACTTCAAACAACTTCGGAGCATACCTCTCTCACAGCCTCTACAGTGGAGGCCAGCTTATTACACACATGGGAGATCGACCGACAAGTGCACGTAATTTGTTGGTGATGTACACCTAAAACTATGACGGCCGACCTCCATAAGAACCGGCAATAGGGCCTTGAAAATTGGACACTTTACGGAGGAAAAGCCCTGTTTCAAAGGGACCACTAAACCTGTATTTGTATGTGATAGCTGAATGAAATCTGTGTGGAACAGCTATTTTTATAGATTGTGGTTCAGTGTGCATAACCGTACAGATATATCCACTGTTCCCTCCTTATCCGTATCTGTTTTTGAAGTAGGATTCTTGCGTAATGGGCGGAAAACGTGGAAAGTCAGTCAGAACCTAAGTATCCAATTTTTTGAGAGGTGTTATTTCCTAAAGCAGGTACTCCATTTGCCGTTTCACGCTCTGTATAGCTGCCTGAGTGGCCAATAACTCAGATGTCATCACATAAAGAAAGGTATTTACAAAAACCAGAGGACATCCATTAAATAAACTGCAAACTGTCGTGTCGCTATGGTCGCACTTAGCCAAGGTCAAGAGGAGTAAGTTTCATCTTGTTGTCAACAAAACGCTCAAATGATGTCTTTTCAAGCTTGATTTATCAGAATAGTCGAAGTGCCTTTGTCGAAAACAGAGGTGTGGGTTTATGTCGGATCGCGCCTAAAAGGGTTTTACTAGGAAAATGGAGTTATTAGACTGACTCACTTAAATCAAGCTCCTTTCACGGCTGCTCAACCTGAAAGGCATATGTTCTACAGCGATATGCTCACGAAACAGCACGTGAAAAATTTCCAGCCTTCAATGATTTTCGACAGTATTATGACCGTTCTATTATTGTTCAGTAACAGCTTTGAACAAGCCCTGTTTTTTCAAGTTGACCAATTTTCAGTTTACCTTTGAGGACCCGAAACAAGTTATTTTTCAAGTTATGAGCATTCAGCGTTCTGGGATAATTGGCAAGATTATCATCTACACCAGTGGGCCAC